CTTTTCCTAGAGTACAGCAAAGCATAGACCAGAGGCTAAATCTCTCCAGGACAAGGCGCGAGAGTGCAGAGTAGAGCATCAATGGCTAACTTGCAATCACTTCCATTGATGATGTTCGGGAGCTCCAGGACCTTTTCCGTGGTTGCCGGCGAGAAGGATGGCCTCTGCTTCAATTTCGACCTAGGGGACAAAACACAATGAGTTGGGAATTTTGGTTGGAAACTTATAGTTGACACTCACCAATGATTAAATTAATGGAAAAAATTTCATCTCTATTTCAAAATGCTCGTACTAGACAGACTGTAGTTAGGTCCTCCCACTATCCTCCTAATGAAACATGAGCCTGCTCGGGAAACAAAGAGAAGATGTGTACGAACAATATATGTAGCAACAAGAAGAAGGAAAAGGATTGAATAGAGGAACTCCCGAACATTTGGAGATCTACGCTTCAACTAGTCCATCTCCTCATGCCATTTTAAGAGTGCAATCCTCCATATTGGCCAATTTTTTATGATATGATGCCATAGCAAAAACTATAATCTAAGGACCCAGCTGTTTTTTTACCGCTAAAAATATTCGCGCACTATAATAATAGGATATGACTTATTAAGTATTTAATTCTACCTATTTAAATGGCTGGTGGGCATATTGAAGTTATGTAGCTCCTCTCCTTCTGGGACAAAACAATAATCATATTTCATTTGACCTCGTGGATCAAATAAAATGAGGAAGCTTCATTATGAATATAATAATTGTTTCTTGGCAACAAGGGAAAAAGAAAATGAAGCTTGAAGGTTTACAATTTAATTCGATCTACGGCCACTCAATTTCTTTACCCTAATCTTATGCATTATGTGTTGTAAATATGAATGGCTTCGAATCAAAGAGCAATCAAGTCGGACTTTGAGGCGTGATATCACTTTCCTTAAGGATTTATTTGCCCCACAATTGTTGCTAATGGTCACCGCAAAAATCCTCCGGGATACAACAAAGTCTCAAAATGAGAATACTAGATAGCAATTAGTATTTCTCCAGGGTCTCTCTACGAAACAAAGAAATGATGACTGTAGTTTTCGAAAAAAGACTCGAAGAAATTGATCTCTCTTTTCTTTCTTGCCAAAAACTGACATATATAGAAATCGGTCTTAAAGAACATTGGCAACTCTTCACGAAAGGTTGCAAAGCTAACAAAGATATTCCTTCGGAAGAAGTTGCAAACTGAATAGATGCAACCCTTCGGAAAAGATTGAAAACTGAACAAGTATAATCTTCAAAAGTTGTCTTGGAAAGACACATGTAAAATTCGGAATAAAATAAATAAATAAATAAATATATAATTCCGAATTTTCATAATTTCAAAAATTACTTAATAAACAAAAAACAACCTTTCAAATAATAAAAAATTAATAAGACAACCTTACGAAATAAGATAAAAATAAAAAGGGATTAGTGCTAATTAAACCGCGGCAAAATCGCGCAATTATTCGCGCACCCGCACGCGGGTATTGTGTGGACTAGCACACACCCCATTATCTTCACTCTAAAGAGCAAGAAGATATTCACAGTTATAAAGTGGCCCACTTTCTCAAAACTTTCCTATGTGGGACAAAGGAAAATGCACTATTTTGTTTGTTTTACAAACAAACAACCAACATTATGTATCTTTGAAAGAGCAAATTTAGGTAGCAACGACGATAACGAAGAGAAAGTAACAAATATTTATTTATTTTTACCATTATTTAAAAATGATTTGTTATCAAGTGCTTTTGGAGAATAGTTGAGCAATCAATCAGGAAGTTTTGCAGCTTTCAATACATTGAGTTGTCATGTTAAATAGAATTATGATTGGGACCCATATGATTAATGGTGATGATTGTTTCGATCTATATAAAGTAAGTTCATGTAATAACTTCTCCATTATTTGATAATGTGATGGGGTTCATGAGGTTATATTGACCCATTATAATAACTTGGGGAAACTTGGGTATATTTACTATAATCCTAGGCCATATTCAATACGTGTGGAATTGAGAACGTGGGTGCTTACTTGCGGTCATTGTATTTGCGAGATCTATATATAATGACTTATACTAGCAGTGTTTCTTAGAAAAATCCTAATGATAAATATAACACGTTATTGTTGAAAGTGATTTAATTGAGTTCGTTTGCTTTCTTTTTTTCATTTCAAGACCTTCGTATGATTAGTTGTTATTGCGAGAAATGAAAGCACAATAGAAAGAACGAGAAAATTTAGCGTATAATTCAAGTGACGTGCTGGAAAAAAAAAAAGAAATAAAAGGAAAAACTATTGTGGGTGAGTTGGGAGCTAAAAAATTGAAGGTAATTGGTAGCAATTAACAAGTGTTGGTCGCTTAAGGTTGGAGATTCTCAGTCGTGCGCAATGTCTCTACTGTTGTCTCAACAAATTTCAACTGTTAATACATTTAGTCACAAATTTCACGATTATCCTTATTCCCATGGATTAGCGACTGCGATGAAGGAGACACTAATTACCAAATTACGGGGAACCAAACAAAGAGAAATAATCTCATCTCCTCGAAGGGGGAAAATGACAAAAAAAGTTCTAAATCTATTACACTTTTATCAATTCAATACTTAACATTTTAAATATACTAAACATTTTTATGTTTTGCCAATTGAGTCCATTCAGTCAATTTTAGCCAGAAATTACTGACATGGATGCCAACTATTCCACATGGCACAGCTCGCCCTGACGTTGAGATTTTTTAATGATATTTTAATAATTTTTGAATTTTTTTATAATTTTTTTCTTCCCTTTTCTTTACTTTTTATTGTTTTTTGGAGCGAGGGCCAACGACCCTTGCCGGCCCGGTGAGGGTATCATGGCCCTTGCCTAGAAAAAGTAAATTCGGATTCCAACGTATATGAAAAATTTGTCAATTGGATTCCAATCTAATACATTGAAATGGAATGGTTGACCAATTTGTTGAACATAAACAGGGGAAAGCAGCCTTCTAATGCTACTCTTGACTTTGCCTGCCCCACCTTCAAGCTTTTTTTCCTCATTTTTATGTAAATGTCTAAAAACTATAAACTTTTATGTACTTGGCCATCCTTGGCACGAAAAAATGCTGATAATAAAAAAAAAATCGACAAAAAACCAATGTATTTCAAACTCACGTTTGTCTGTTGTGCATAGGCCATAATATTGATTTTACATAAAAACTCTGGGTTGATCTTCAAATGAAATTAATAAGTGGGTCATGTTCACCGTCAATAAAAATTAATCACATCACTTTACTAATTTAGTAAACTTGTGGTGGGTATCCTAGTATTATCCTATGTTATTTCTCTCTATTGTTGTTGGGTTCCGTGTGCTAATTAACATACCAGAGGTGGCTGATTTTTATAGTTTCATCTTGTTGATACTACACTGTCCTTTTCAAAAGATTAATAGATGTTGAAATTCTTACATATACCTGCTCGACTAAAACCCTCTCATTGAGGATGATTCAGCATCGGAAAATTGTAACGCGTATCTCAACTACAATGCTCATGGTCTCATCAATGAATGTACATTAAACTGTTCACAGATTTGTCACAATTCTTCTCTTTCTTTGGGCCCAAGAAGACTTATCACAATGGAGAAAGGGCCATTAAGTCAAAGATTTGATGTGTGCAATGCACGCAGCTAATCAGGAAGTTCTTCAGAAGCTGCCCTGTGATTTCAATGGCCAGATTTTTGGGATGCTTCTCCTAACAAGAAAATTCGGGCATTAAACATCAACAGTTCACAATTTTCCACAGAAAAAGCCACAAAAAGTTATCCTTAATGATACTTTCCTCTAGTAATTTTCCATGGAAAAAAAATATATTTTGCTAACATAAATGTTTATTCTCTTGACAACGAGAAAGCTACCTTACCTAGGTAAATTCTAAATTCATAGAGTACCCTACTACTTTTATGAGATGGGTAAGAAGCGGATTAAAACTTAGTTGAAATATCTAATTGATAAACAAGTTATTTGCATCCAGTCGTATGAAAAATTCGAATAAAATAGACACGCAATTCTCCTTTAAGTGTCAATTATTTAACCATTAAGCCAATCACCCTTTTGTCGTGGCCGCTGGGGCTGTTATTCTGTTCGGCTTCTAGAAAGTAGAATGCAGTCTTTCCCGTGATCATCTGTTTATTTTGTACCGCTAATGTAACATTTATGCACACTGTAGTGATAGGGTATGAATAAGTATATATTAAATTCCACCTATTTGAATGGCTGGTGGGTATATTGAAGCTAGATGGCTCCTCTCCTCATGGGACAAAACAATAAGCATATTTTTTTGACCTGTGGACGAAATAAAGCAAGGAAGCTTTGCTATAAACCATTATTGCTTGGCAAAAAGGGGGGCAAACAAATTGAAGCTTGAAGGTTTGCAAGTTAATTCGACCTATAGCCACCTGCTCTTTTTCCATCTAATCTAATCCGATTATGCATTCTTTTAGAGAGCATATCTAGGTGACAACCACAGAATTGAAGAGAAAGTAACAATTTTTTTTCTTTCTAATCATCATTTAAAAATGATTTTGTTATCGAGTGTTTTTTGACACTTGTTGAGCAATCGACGATGAAAATTTTGCAGCTTTCAAAGCATCGGGCTCTCGTGTTAAGTAGAATAGTGGTTGGGACCCATATGATCAGTATTTAATGATGATACATTTACATAGATTAAGTTTATGTAACAACTGCTCCATTATTTGATAAAGGGATGGGGTTCATGAGGCTGCATCAATGAAAACATGATGCCATATGAGCTAAGCGATGCATGATGATGGCGGGTGGGTGCATTTGGGAATTGTGTGATGGGAGTGGTGAGAGAGAACTGATTGAACAATAATAAAAGCAGAAATTTCGGGGGTTGGGTTGGACACGGGCCCACTTCTTTACCTTCTGAGCCTTTGGGGGGTTTAATGATGCCAAGACTTTGGTCCCATTTCCGACCAACTTGCTTCAGAGAAATTGAGGCAAGACAAATGAAATTAAATCAAATGAGACACGATCAAATGCAACGGCAGCTTCTTCCGAGAAAGAAAGAGCACTTTAGTGCTTAAAAAGTCCTTTGATTCACACCATCATTCGATGCTGTTGTCCTGGACGGAAGAACTTCTGCTTCCTCTCCGCTCTGTACACTTTGTTTCGACCCTTCCGGGCACTCTTGTTTAATCCTCTGCCGCTCACGAACAAAGCCATGCACATCGGAGAGCTCTTTCTTGGCGCCTTTCTCCAGGTGCTGTTCGAAAGGTTGGCCAATCACGAGCTGCTCAACTTTGCGCAGCGCGAAGGGATCGATTCTCAGTTGGAGAAATGGAAGACGATGCTGGAGAGTATCAAGGAGGTGCTGGATGATGCAGAGGATAGGCAACTCACAGGCCATCTCAGGGTTAAGTCGTGGCTCGAAGACCTCAGGAACTTGGCCTATGATATCGAAGACTTGCTTGATGAGTTCACCATAGAATCCGCTGAAAGCAAGTCCAAGGCAGAACCTGGCGCTAGCAAGGCACGTTCCTTTCTGCCCAGTTATTTCTTCGAAGTGAGCCCAAGAGCATGGATGTCCAACCACGAAATGAAATCTAAGATAGAGAATATGGATAACAGATTACAGAAGATCATAGCTCGTAAAGATGGCCTGAGCCTGACAGAGAACAAGGGGAAGCGATCAGCATATCGCCAGCTAGATAAGTCGATTCCCACTACGAATTTGCCAGAGCCTTATTTCGTTAGTAGGGAGGATGACAAAAGGGAGATCCTCAAATTACTGACCGGAGAAGAAGACGATAGAGCATGTGTGGATCTAAAAGTGATTGCCATTGTAGGTATGGGTGGTGTTGGAAAGACGGCTCTCGCTCAGCAAGTTTACAATGATGCTAGAGTCACCGACTATTTCGATGTCAAAGCATGGGCTTGCATTTCCGATGATTTTGATATGCCCGCTATTACAAAGAGTATCCTCTATAAAACCAACTCCACTTTGTCCTGTGAAGAAAAGGACTTTGACTGGCTACAGGATAAGCTCAAGGAAAACCTTTTGGGGAAGAAGTTTCTTGTCGTTTTAGATGATATTTGGAACAAAAATCCTGGAAAGTGGGCTAAATTCTTGAAGCCTTTTAGATCGGGAGCAAAGGGAAGCAAGATCATTGTCACCACTCGTGATTCTCACATTGCTAAAATAACCCATGCTAAAGTGTATCCTCTCAAAGAGTTGTCACAAGATGCTTCTATGACTTTGTTGGCATTTTATGCTCTTGGAGTCGAAAATTTCGATCATCATCCCAATCTTAAAGTATTAGGTTGGAAAATTGCAGAAAAATGCGGAGGGTTGCCATTAGCTGCGACGACATTGGGCGGGCTGCTAAGCTCTTATGTCAGTCCCCATGAATGGGAAGATGTATTGGAGAGCAAAATTTGGGACCTACCAGAACAAAATAATGACATCCTTCCGGCTTTGAAACTTAGCTACCTCCATCTCCCTTCCAATCTGAGGAGATGTTTTGCTTACTGTGCTATATTTCCCAAGGACTATGAGATCGAACGGGATGAGTTGATTCATTGGTGGTCTGCAGAGGGCTTGTTGGAGGGAGAACAACGAAAGAGCCGTTGGAATGCAGGTTTGAATTATTTCAACGAGCTAATATCTAGATCGTTAATTCAAAAGTCAGGTAGCGATGAGTCACAATTTTTTATGCATGATCTTGTGAATGACCTGGCAAAGCTAGTTGCAGGTGCAACTTATTTTGACTTGGTCGAGTTTGAGGGTGATGACAGTACTGCATCTTTAGCTCGTCACGCCTCATTCATTTCCGGCGAATGCATTCTGCCAGAAAAATTCAAGATATATCATGGAATGAAGGGACTTAGGAGCTTCATATCATTAAATAAATCACAGGTCTATGTGTCTCAAAAGGTGCTATGTGACTTGTTGTCAGCATCGAAGTACTTGAGGGTACTTTCATTAAGTCAATACCAAATCACAGAAGTACCGGAATCCATTGGCAAACTGAGGCACCTAAGGCACCTTAATCTATCGTATACTTGTATTAAAAAGCTTCCAAATTCAATTGTTACATTGTACAACCTAGAGGCTTTGATATTGAGGGGCTGCAAAAACCTTGTTGAATTACCAGAATGTATTGAAAAACTGATCAATCTGAAATTTATCGACATTACCGACACTGAGAGACTAGAAGCGATGCCGCTGTATATAGGTAATTTGGTGGGTCTTGAGATGTTGTCTAAGTTCATAGTGGGAACGAGAAATGACTCAAGGTTGACGGAGTTACAAAACCTAGAGAACCTTGGAGGGGAATTGTGCATCTCTAATTTGCATATGGTTCAAGATGCCCAAGATGCCGCCGATGCCAATTTACGCACGAAGAAGGGAATATGTCGATTGACCATGCAGTGCAGTAGAGATTTTGAAAATATCCGGAATGAGGAGCTTCAAGCAAAGGTCCTCAAATTTCTTCGACCTCACCAAAACCTTGCAAATCTCAGAATTTCCTACTACGGTGGCCTAGAATTCCCATCGTGGTTAGGATGTCCCTCATATGCTAACATAGTGCAGTTACGTTTACACGGGTGTCAGAGGGTCAAAGCATTACCATCGCTCGGGCAGCTATCTTTCCTGAAAGATCTATACATCGAAGGTTTAAATGCAATATGCACAGTAGGGTTTGAATTTTATGGAAGTAAAAGTCCTTTTCCATCCTTAATAACTTTGGAATTCAAGGATATGCCATTATGGAAGGACTGGTCTCATTGCGTCGGCACCGAAGAAATAGGAGTTATATTCCCTCGTCTGGAGCATCTCGTCATTCGGCACTGTCCTACGTTGGTCAGAAGATTGCCTAGTCAATTAAGCTCCCTCATAAAGCTTGAAATCTACTCTTGTCCGTGTATGGATGCATCGTCCTCTATCACGAGCCTTCCATTTCTCAATGAATTAGACTTTGGAGGTTGTAATGTGGGGGTGTTGAAGAGTTTGGTAAGCCTAGCATCTCCTACTGCACTTGCCATAGATGATGTTTCTGGTCTGACTTGCTTAAATCATGGGTTTACAAGCTCCTTGACCAAGCTGGAGAAGTTGACGATCGAAAGTTGTACAGAGTTAATATACTTGTGGCGAGACAGAGATGTAATTCGGAATCTCGCCTGTCTGAAGAGCTTGCTTGTCGGAAATTGTCCGGAATTAAGATCTTTTGTCGCTGGAGAAGGAGATATAGAGCTGGCTGGCAACCTCGAGACTATCGAATTGACAAATTGCGTCAATTTAGCAAAGCTCCCAAGCAAGATGCACACCCTCTCCTCTCTTAGAAGCTTGACGATCTATGATTGTCCGAAACTCATGTCCTTTCCCGGAACTAGTATTCCTACATTAGCGATATCATTAAACATCAGCCAGTGCGAGATGTTGCAATCTCTACCCAGAGGAGGATTAAGTGTTCATACGGATGAACCAAGCAGCAGCGGTAGCAATACCCACGGTGATAGTATCTCTTGTCTGCAAGACTTAAGAATCTCCCGGTGCCGTTCTCTGCCAGCCTCTCCATTCAGCGATGGTAGATTTTTACCTGCCACCCTCAAGAGACTTGAAATTAAGGAGTGCAGGGGAGTGGAGTCGCTCGCAGAGATAAATGTAGACGGTCTTCAGTCGCTTCAAGAGATTGCAATTTGGGATTGCGAGAATTTGAGAAGCTTACCCCAGGGCCTACACACACTGTCCCGTCTCACTTCATTTGATTTGTTGGCATGTCATGCTTTGGAGCTGGATTGCTTCCCTCCTCTTCCTCCCAGCATCTCAAACTTTCGTCTTTGGAATTGTCCGAAGATAAAATCATTACCTAATCGGTTGAATCGACTCACATGTCTCCGTCATCTGGAAATTCACTCGTGTGAGAGTATTACGTGCTTCCCCGACGGAGGATTGCCGCCCCGACTACAGTCACTTGTTTTATGGAATTGCGGGAATATAAAGCAGCCTGTGGGGGAGTGGCTTACCCCTCTTACCTCCCTTGAACGGCTGTTGATCAGAGGCAGCGTTGGAGGAGCGGGAGAGGAGGAGGATCTCGTGCTTCCGCTCCCTCCCTCTCTGCTCGATCTCCATATCTCTGGTATGGGGAGAGTGGAAAGACTGTCCAGCAGTCTCCCTCCCTCTCTACGGATGTTATGGATCCATGATTGCCCGAAGCTGAGGGAGTTGCCCCAGGATGGCCTCGCTCCCTCCCTAGAAAAACTCTGGATCGAAGGATGCGGGATTCTGGAGGAGCGATGCAAGAAAGGGACCGGCTGCTATTGGCCCCTCATCCGCGAAATCCCATCACTTTTATTAAAGGGTATAATTAACTGAGCTGGCTCTTTGAAAAGGGGTTCGTATTTTAGGTCCAAAATTATGCCACTTAAAAAAAAATGTGTGTTTTAATTTTGGCAGGTGAGGATGAGGATGAGGACGAGGATGAGGACGAGTACGAGGATGAGGATGAACTAGGGGCGTGTCAAGAATAAACCCCCCTTCATCATCGTCTCCTTCCCCGCCTTTGTTGTGCGCACCTCAATCACCTCCTCTGCTTCGGCTCTCCCACTCCGTCGTCCTCACCTCGATCTCGATCTCGATCTCGTGAAGATTTCTGTGCCTCCATATATAACATTAAAATCAGGTATGATCGATCTTTCCACTTACTACTCTTCTACTCGTGGTCACTTTCTCTTCTCAGATTTGGCATCACTTCCCCCGTCCATTGAAATGCTTTTGCGTGATTTCATCCATCCAGCAAAAATGTCATAAAAAAATCTGGGATGTTATTAACGGATTGTTGCATTTGAATCAGTGACTTCGCCATGAGAAGATGCTGAAGGGGAAACCTGGATGTGAGATTGGTCCTCATTGTAGAGATGAAGGGAGATGCCACTGCAAGCTTGGTTCTTAAGTTCTTGAATTTTGTGGAAGCTTTCCCATGATTAGTTGGTTCTCAAATTATTCACGGGGATAGGTATGTATATGTTCTTCTTCCCTGTTCAATAAGTGTCTGCTTTTCGCTGATGTTCAATCCACTAGATGAATCTAAAGTCTGGACGTAATTTATGTGATAAATAAGTAGCAAAGACAAGTGTGAAAATGTTTGAAAGTTGCATCACATCAAAAAAGTGTAGCTCAGGACTTCAGATGGATAGAGCAAGTTCATGTCATGTTAATGGCAGTTTGGTGTCTCAAATCCTCTTTCATGTTTTAGTTTGGAAACTCCATCTGAACATATTTACTAAGTTGTGGAATGCACTTGACTAATTTCCCTTATTTCTGATTCTGATAAAATGCGAAAATTACTTTTGTAGCATTCACCGGATTAGGAAGGAACTCGGTATTAATTTTCTGTCTGCATTTACCGATATAAAGTACTTATTTCCACACATGCAATCTTATCATTTCTGAGCATACTGTGATGCACATCGAAATCTATGGGGGCAAAGAGATTTATTGCGCCTCAACCCTTCCATTCCAGCATTTTACTCACCATCCAAGATTAAGGAATGGTTTATTTGGTTTGAGTACAGACACAAATGAAGGTGTTTCATGGACTGGGTAGCACTCATTGAAATCTTTGCCCATTGTTCATTTTGATAACTATTCATATTCTGCTTCGTGGAATCAAAGATGCATAGCCCTTGAGTCGCTGGTTGGCAAAGTTTAAAGGGTGAGTAGATTTGTTTATGCTATTTCTTTTGACTTGCTGTTTAAGAGGCCGGTAATGATCATGGGGTATAATCAGAATCTAGAAAGAATCTCTTCTGAAGGATTAGCATATTGTCCGCATTCTATTTGTTCATTTCTAGTATTATATCAACGCACGTGTCAAAATGGTTTAAAGTTTCTTTTCTGTTATGTTGTTTGTTATCATTTCCTCGATTATCTCATTGACATGATTACGTACATCTTCTGTTGTGCGTGTGTAAGGGATTGGTTCTACGGAAGGGGAGTGTTAAGTTATACGTTATATATACATTGCTCGGCATGTTTCCTAACAGCTTAAGCTTTTTAAAAATGCATTTGTCTAACATGCAGCAATCAAATCAAACAGCATGACCAATCAGCCAACCCTATGTTCTTGTTTGGTTCTTTCTTCTAGTAATTGTGGATTATTTGGAAGACTTTCAGACAAGGATTATAAGCCTCTCATAAATTCATCGAATTACAACAAGATTTAAAGCTTGGAGAGCTGAAAGCCGCTCATATGCCAGCAAACTTCAACTTATTGAATCTGTTATTCAGTCTGGTTAAATTATTAGTGTCAACTCTTTTTGTTGCCCAAGAAAGTTTTTGAAATGGTTGAGCGAAAGTGTAGAGCTTTCCTTTGGAAGGGAGATCCTAATGCTAAAGAGGGAGCAAAAGTTAGAGTGGACACTGTCCGTCTTCCTAAGCAGTTTGGAGGCCTTGGCATTCGAAGACTGGATTTGTGAAATCTTGCTTGTATTTTAAATTGTCTATGGAGTATTTTGTTGAGGTCTGGTCTCTATGTTTTGCCTGGCTCTATAGCTATCATCTCGACTGTAAACCAGATGCTACTTATGCTTGGAAAAAGTTACTAAAAGTCGGGAATATTTTGAAACCCCGCATTAGATATATAGTGGGTAATGGAGATAATATTTCTCTTGGTTTGATTTGTGACACCATGCTGGGATTTTGCTGGAATCATTTCTCAAGGAGAATTAACTTATGAATCTTCTCTTCCTTTGCAGGCCAAAGTATCTGCCGTAATTCGTAACTCTCATTGCCTGCTGCTAGGTCTAGAGAGTTGGTCTCCATCCAAGCTGCTGTTTGTGGTGTGAATTTTCCTAATTCCTCAGCTGCAGAGAATGTTGTACTCACAGCTTCTTCAACTGGTTGCCTTAACTCTTTTGTTGCTTTGGAAATTGTCAGAAACAAGAATGCTCGGGAAATTGGCAGAGACTTGTGTGGTTCTCCCCTAATTGCCAAGATTTGGCTTTAATTCTTGGTTAGTAATACATGTTAAACTCCATACTTTTGAGTTGATTAATTGTTGGTCTGTTGGGAGAACAAGATCTATCTGCTTGTTCTGTAATCCAAGCATTGATTCTCGTTCTCATCTAATTTTCGAGCGTAGTTTCTCTAATGAAGTACAGAGGAAGGTCTTAATCCGGTCAAACTAATCATTGAATCTCGCTGTCATCTAATTCTCGATGTTTAATCTAATCAAGATTATCATGTTCTCTGTTAAGCATAGTTTTGAGAGTTGCCTTGGTCTCAAAATAAGATTGGCACCAATAAGCATTGTTGGTCGTGTCCTGCTTTGAATCTAAGTTTGTGAAAACTATCCAGCTAGAGTAAGGCTTGTTTGAGGTTGTGCTTATTGTTGTTTTTTGGTGTGTAAAGTTGCATGTTGTGCTCTGAAAACTATCCAGTGATGGCAGATAGATGTCAATTTCAATCATCTTCTTTGAGGGTCCAATTTTTATAACGTCCAGTTACTGACCTTCGCATTTCTTTAGACAGTTATCGGAGGAAGAAGCACAATCGATGAAAAGCAGTTGTTACAAGATTAAAAAGAGAAATATTTATTGACTAAAATTCAAAGAGAGACTTTGCAACAATTTTTTTTTTTGCATTCATGATAATTTCACTCGGTTACATCCGTAGGAAATTGAACCTCTAAATTTGGACTTTTTTCTTGTAGTTGTTTGCCATAATATCATCAGCATTTCAATAAAGAAATTATTTGGAACGGTTGGTGGTTTTTGTGCTTGTATTTACTTTAAAAAGCAAGTTTGCCGATGAAGGGGGTGTTTGGTTCAGCTTTGGGAAGGGGCTTTGAGCCTCGAAAGCCCCTTCCCAAAATGCTGAGGTGTTTGGTTCAGCATTTGGCCTAGCATTGGCCAAATGCTAGCATTCCAAATGCTGAAAGCCCAAGGCTGGTCCGGACCAGCCTTGGGCTTTCAGCATTCCACGAATGCTACTGTTCACATATTTTATTTATTTATTTATTTTTTTGGGTTGAATCTGTTCTTCACCAGGCAACCGGCGAGGGCGGTCGGCGAGGGTGGCCGGCGAGGGAGAGCGGCCGGCGAGGTCGCCTGGGGTCGGGCAACCGCCCAGACGACCGCCCGGGCGACGCCGTCCCCCAGGCGGCGGCCGCCCTGGGTCGCGCGACCTCAGGCGACCTAGGCGGCCGTCGCCCGGGTCGTGCGACCCCCGCCGAGGGTCGCCTGGCCTCGGGCGACCACTACCGGCGGCAGATCTGGCTCGCCGGCGGTAGCCCGAGGTCGGGTGACCGCCGGCGAGCCAGATTTGCCGGCGGCGGCGGCCGGCTCCGGCCATGGTAGGTTTTGTTTTTTTTTTAATAAATAAAATAATTCTCAAAGTCCATTTACAAAAAAAAATTCACCAAACACTATATTTTGGCAAAAGTAGCTTTACAAAATATTTTTACCAAACACCATTTACATTTGCCCAATGGACTTTCACTCAACGGTATTTGCATTCCCCCAAGTAACATTTTCAAAGTTGAACCAAACAGGCCCGAAGACCTCTCCCAGGAAGCAGCCCTACGTCTTTGCAAGAAAATCCAACTTAATGAAGCCTTTTCTCCTTTGCTTATTTCTTTAGGACCATTGAAGGAAAGTTCTTGAACATTTTGAACGACCCCATGTCGATGATGGTCGTCATTGAGGGAGTTTTATAAACAACTATGGACTTTTGTAAACTTATTTAATATTAGAGCATTAACGCAAAGTAGTAGATGTTAATCAACTACAGCTACTTGACTTCATCGCAATCTTGTAATCTTGTGATTATTTAAATCATATCATGATTATTGTTAACTGATAGAACTGGTACTTCCTATGCACGCTATATGAAAAAGTTCAGCCCTGAGCGGTCTTTCCTTTTTGATAATTATAAAATCCCTGCAATGGACAGGCGACGTCTCTAATTTCAAAATAAGATTAAGCGTAGTGATTTAACTGCTTATGCTTCGAGCAATTGATTGTCTTATGTATCATTGTACTTTTAGGACGTGTTATTCCTTCCAGCTTTGATGAAGACACAGGATAGATGTGCAGAATTCGAAGCTAGACTTCTTTTTGCATTGTAGGTTACTGTTTTCGAGCAATTTGCTTGTAAATTAGCATCTCTGAATCAAAAGCTGATCGGTATTGAAACGGGTAGTGCAAACGTTATTTACCTTCTGGCTTTGTATCTGATATTTTTACACATGACACGTCCAAGACTTTTAGCCGCTCCATTCCTATATGAAGGATGGACTCGTTTTAGGGCAGCTCTTGGGAAATTGATTTACAGTCACGACACGGTAGAAATGATGTCACTTTTATGTGTGGCTGCATTAAACCTTTCACAGTTATAAAATTCGAACCTAAAAGTAAAACGTATAGTGAGATAATTCCCTAATTGCAATCTTAAACTAAATGGCATCAAATTAAAACTATTCCTAAGATGCAACTACCTAACTGCGATTTCCATTCTTCATATTTTGTAATTTCAACTATTTTCCTTTTGAGTTTTTTGATTTTTTATTTTTTGAGGATTTAACGACCAACTCACCACCAATAACACGAGGGGTGACGTCTTTACAATCTAAAAGCGTGAATGGCAAGCTGAGAAGATGTCAGCATGATACAGTGAAGATTTAGCTCAATATACTCACTTTACCACGAGGAATGCAGCTTTCATCTGTGCACACTATTGGCCAATATGAGGAAAAGAAAATTGATAGCAACACTAACGGGATACACAGCAAAAAGCGCCAGTAGCTAGCTATTGCAACAGAACGAAGACCCCACCCACCACAAATACAAGCTTATCATCCAAATGAGATAATTCACTGCACAAATACATACGGACAGCAAGCTCCTAGGACATCTTAAGCACGCTTTGAGCATAAGAATATGATAATCCAACATGAAATTGATACGAGTCCAAAGCGTCAGCTTCTTACGTGGATATACATGCTGAGGAGGTCCA